TATTCAACCTTGAGTGTCAGGACCATCTTTGTTGGTTTACTCAAATTTTTGGGCAAAACGCATATAAAATATATCCTCCGATCTTAAATCCTCATAGATTGTAAGCTTGTTTTAGAAGGTGTTTCACAACCACTAAATATCCACTATCTTTCATTGAAAAGAGCTATAAAATATGTTGGCTCTACATAAATGCTAATAATAATATTTTTATAAATCTATTTGTTTAAGATGGTAATGTGGTATCCAGTTGAGTCAATTGTGTAGAAAGACATCATATATACATTATATTTCCCATTTGCAAAAACATTCACATTCATATACAATTGTAGACATGCATGTGAGAAGTCAATTACTATGCACAGTGCCTTATATCAGTTGAATTAAGAATTAATCTGTTCCTGTGATCAAGGTGATATCTAATTGTTATTGACATAGAGTGTCTCTAAAAAAAAATAAAAACATTTGAGATATATATATATATGTTACGGTACCTTCAGTAATAAATGTACAAACTGCTGTTTAGTGAATGCTCCCCGTTCGCAATAATGTGGTCTGGTAGCGTATGCAGTATAACCATGCGAACCGCCAGCCAGGGAACACTCCAAACTCCCGAACGGTACCTGTACGGCTCCTTCCCTTCACGAGCTCCAAATACACGAACTGCCAATATTAGCCGAACGCCAATATCTTCCAAGCGGCAAATAATTCCAATGAGCAGTCTCTAGTCGCCAGTAATAAAATCCCCCCAATAACGAGACCAAGCTCCGCTTTGAGGGTAAAACACAAACTTTACTGTGGGCTACCTGCCAGTATTTATTCAGGTCTCCCACTTGGTGGACACTCCCCCAGGGGACCAAATGGGAGACTGTAATAGCAGAAGGACATGGGGACATTTTAGACATACAACCCCACAATATTCCCAGCATGCATCATGCATCGTACCACCTCTTCTGTCTCCCCTGGGCCGCCTGGAGATTCTCCCTTACCATCAGGGATAGTTTCTCCATGCGGTCCCGGATTTCCAGGACATGTGGTACTATGGGGGTCCTTTCTTGCTCTGTCTCCCCCTCCCAGTGCCCTCTAATGAGATCTAGGGGTCCGCGGACCCTTTTCCCATAGAGTAACTCAAAGGGGGAGAACCCAGTAGATTCCTGGGGCACCTCTCTGTATGCAAATAGCAGATGAGGCAGGAATCGCTCCCAGTCTCTGCAAGTGTCAGTAAAGGTCCTCAACATCTGGGTACCATTAAATCGCTCGCAGAGACCGTTAGTCTGTGGGTGATAAGGTGAGCTAAGCAGCGGTTTAATGCCGCACACCTGAGCTGTGCGGCGGGAACCTAGATGGCCCGCTAACGGCACATCATGCCCAATCCGCAGAATCTCCTGCCGGTATTTTGCAGGTACCACTAGCTATCGATTCTGCGGAGGGGTACTCGGTCTCTGGGACGGTTTCGGGATCCTGTACAGCCTATCCCCCACCCACTCGTAATGCTCCCCATGTACCCCTTCTCCCCCAGAATCGGCCCTGGCCCTGTACTTCACTAACGTCGGGTCTTCCCTAGTTTCCTTCCCGTACATCTCTGGGGTATCCCAGCCTAAAGGGGCCTGGTCTAAGGTACAAGTCGGGGTAGAGAGTCTTACCTGGGTCTCAGCAACAGGTGGGCTGGTCTCGGCGGCACGGGTCTGGACACGGGTCGTGACAGCGTCCACTTCAGCGGGACCCATTGGAGCGAAGGCCGAAACAAGGGGCGCCAAGTCATTGCCAAGGAGAACATCTGCTGGTAAGTCCTTCATGACCCCCACATTTACATGTCTAGCGCCCACTCCCCAATCCAAATGTAACCGGGCAATGGGTAGACGAAACACGGCACTCCCGGATACTCGCACTGACACTGTGTCCCCGGTATGATGGGCCTCGGACACCAGTTGCTTCTGAAGCAAAGTCATGGTTGCACCGGTATCCTGTAGACCACTGACCTCATTCCCATTGACCTTTACACATTGCCGGTGGTGCTGTCTGTTATCCCGGTGGGCAGCTTGAACAGGGTCTGCCTCATGCAAGATGCCCCAGCACTCCTCTTCCTCTACACAGTGAGCAGCTGGGAGAGGTGGTCGTGGATTGCCGCCGGCTGGTCTCCTCCAGGACTGGTTCTGGTTGGCACTGTTCATCGGGCACTCCGGTCGCTTGTGCCCTGGCTGTTTGCATAAGTAGCACCTAATGGGTTGCAAGTAATCCCGTGAGTTGAACCGGGGTGGCTGTTGGTACTGGGCAGAAGGAGGGGGTGCTGACGGCCGATTCATTGGAGACTGGTAGATGTTAGCTGCTGGTGGTGCTGCTGGCCGGTACTCCACTCTGGCGGGAGTCTTACTGATGGAACTGTCCAGTTTGCGGGCATCCGTATACTCGTCCACCAGGCGAGCTGCTTCATGTAGAGTGGAGGGTTTACGGTCCCTTACCCACTCTCTGACCCTTGGGGGTAATTTGTCGAAGCAATGCTCCAATAGGAACATCTGCAGCACCTCTTCTCCGGACACAGCCTGGCACCCCGCAATCCAGTGGGCAGCTGTGCGATGCACTTTGCATGCCCATTCAACATACGAGTCCCCAGCTGTTTTAACAGTGTCTCTGAACCGCCTCCTGTATGCCTCCGGTGTAACGGAATACCTGGAGAGTAAAGCTTCCCTGACGGCCCCATAATCCCCGATCTCCTCATCAGGAATGGCCCGAAAAGCATCGCTGGCCGGCCGGATAACTTGCCGGACAATATAGTGACCCAGTCTTCCAGGGGTACCTTGTGCAGGGCACATTGCCGCTCAAAATCAGCAAGGTACCCATCAATCTCTCATTCTGCCTCTACAAAAGGTTTAAATGCAGTAAAAGGCACTTTCTTTCTTTCCCCTGGGCTGGCTGTGACTGGGGCTGCTGCAGCACTGCTTTGGCGTAGCAGGTTGGCCTCCACAGCGGCCATGACCCGGTCGATGATCTCTGCAGATGGGTTGGGACCATAATGTGCCAGCCTGATTCTTACCGCCCAGTCAAAGCTTGCCTCCTCTGGGGTTCTGTCAGCTGTGCTGGGTCCATTGGTTCCCTCTGCCGCTGGTACTCCATCCATTTCCAGCAATAGTGCAATAATGTCCCTCTTCCTGAGGTTACTGGCTTGTCCACCTCTTTGTTCTAATAAATCCTTTAGGGTAGCTCTTCTCAGGTTTTGGTATTGTAATTCCATTTAATCCTGGTTGTAGTGGTCTCTCTGGGCGCTGAGGGTCATCCCGTCACTTGCCACCAGTTGTTACGGTACCTTCAGTAATAAATGTACAAACCGCCATTTAGTGAATGCTCCCCGTTCGCAATAATGTGGTCTGGTAGCGTATGCAGTACAACCATGCGAACCGCCAGCCAGGGAACACTCCAAACTCCCGAACGGTACCTGTACGGCTCCTTCCCTTCACGAGCTCCAAATACACGAACTGCCAATATTAGCCGAACGCCAATATCTTCCAAGCGGCAAATAATTCCAATGAGCAGTCTCTAGTCGCCGGTAATAAAATCCCCCCAATAACGAGACCAAGCTCCGCTTTGAGGGTAAAACACGAAGTGAGTTTACTGTGGGCTACCTGCCCGTATTTATGCCGGTCTCCCACTTGGTGGACACTCCCCTAGGGGACCAAATGGGAGACTGTAATAGCAGAAGGACATGGGGACATTTTATACATACAACCCCACAATATTCCCAGCATGCATCACAGTTTCCTCCCCTCTGCTCGGGAGATAATTGAGAAGTAATTCAATTATCTCCCAGAGCAGAGGCAAATCACCATTTTAAATACAAGTCACAAAACACATTAAAATACATAACTTTATAACTGCCAAACGAATTACATTCGTATAACACATCCCCATATAGCCTGGATCTGAGTGCATATTATTGACAAATAGCGCTCAGATCCCATACGCACAGTTCAATCGCCATGGAGTCAAAGTCTATTACAGTTCTTCGGTATGCGATTGACTCCATGGGAAGGCTATCTGGGGTAAGTCCATTCGTGCCTTTAAACCTCTCGAACGGCCGGTGTTCGCATACTTCTGTCGATTGAGAAGGGAGGTCGACGGCTTCAGCGGTGTTCGGTTGAAAAAGTGTCAGTTTTTAGTTCCATTAAATAACCGTCGAACACCGCTGGTCTTTCGCATGGTTAAAATGGCCGCCGCCTCGTGGTCGACATACGAACGACGACCACCCTGTATTCGGTTTTAATTGAGAAGTGTCTGTGGTTAACCGCAACGTTCTAATTGGGATCAATAGGTTAACCAGCAGCACACTTCTCTTCTGGGTGGCCGTCTGTTCGGTAGTTCCGTTCGACAAAAAAATACATTCCCTTAAACAAGGCATACGAATGGGGAAATTCATACAAACGGCAAAACAGACAAACACAGCAATTCTAGTTCATACGGATGGGTCTGTCACAATATATATTGACATAGTCTTTCTTTCTCTAAAAAATAAAGAATTTTTGAGAGAAAATATATATCTCTCAAAAATTCTTTATTTATTCTTGAAAAAACCCATGTTGGGTCGAAACGTCGATACATAGTGGGAGTTTGAGTGCAAGACTTGTTTTTATATAAATATATATAAAAACAAGTCATGCACTCAAACTCCCACTATATATCAACTTTTTGACCCAACATGGGTCTTTTTCAAGAGGTTCGAAACGTTGATGAAGACACAAAGTTGATTTGAATAAAACACATTGAAAAAGAGTGCACCTCTGCTTTAGTTTTATTGTTTGTTGTATATTTTAAATTCTTTTTTTAATATATATATGTTATTTTTTTACATTATGTTTTATATGTATATAGTTTAAATGTTATTTTTCTTATTTAATCTGCTTTATCACCATGTATGAAAACTAGGTAACAAGTAGAAAAGGTTATGTAGAGCATATTATAGATAAAGTATGATAAGTGGAAATCATGAGGTACTCCATGCAGAAAACTACTCCATGACACACCAGCAAAGAAGGCAAGCTAAGCTGATTAAGATAGATACCTAAGGAACAAAATAATTAGTTTTTGAATCTGCCTGCCAGACAAGCAAAACCTATGATAATGAAAAATAGATTGAGTATCAGCAACCATCTGTACTTTCAGAGGATTTTTAGAATGGATACATTTTGTTGGGATGAAATGTCATTTTGTCATGATAGTGATTACAGTTTGGCATTTCAGCAAAGTGCATGCATTATCAGTGATTACTTTTTCTATAAAAACACAAGATAGATTTATTAGATAGATAGATAGATAGATAGAAACTCTTCTATCATCTAGATGTATTGAGCAGTGCCTTTTCAATTTGGTAATTTTTTTAACTGATTAATAGTGCAACAAATAGTACATCCCTCATTCTTTTGCTGCATTTATAGCAGAACAATGGCAATATTTGTATACTAACAAAGGATTGATATTCATGGCTTTTTTCTGTGTTTATTAACCCCTTAAGGACAATGGGTGTTCTATGCCATCCTTGGGTACCCGGCTGTAAATGCCGGCGGGCGACATTGAACACCCAAGCTGTCCTATGTACTTACCCGGTCGCTGGCGATCCTACGCCTGCAATCGTGGTGTGGGGACTCACCTGGGAGCGCAGGGAGTCCCCCTCCTTCCTCTTTGGCCCCCCTGGGCCATGTGATCGTGAGGTCCTTGCGAGGACCTCGCAATCACATGAACGGCATAGCCGTCCATGTCAATGCCAGCAGGGGGAGTGCCTGCAATGACAGGTACTCCCCCTGCTGCCTGAAATAAGTAAAAAAAAAAAGTAAAATTCACAGTTTAAAATAAAATATATACTTAGATCATATATATTTACTACATATATGATCTAAGTATATATATACATATATATATATACACATATACATACATACACATACACTGTCTAAGTGTATTTTAATATTAATATATATATAATATAATTATAAATATATATTAATATCAAAATACACATACAATGATATTGATTACATATATATATAATTTTCATTATATATATATATTTATATATAATATAAAATAAATAAATATGTAAATACGTTAAAAAATTAAATAAAAAAATAATAAAAAATAAATGAAATATATATATGTGTAAATTCATTCTAACTGTATTTTAAAATTAATATATATATATTGTTATCAAAATACATGTAGAACGAAATAATATATATATATATATATATATATATACATCGATATACATAAGTATATATGTATATATCACTATATATATACCTATATATAAATAAAAATAATGTAAAAAAATTATATACATATATATATATATGTATATATATATATACACACACATATATATACACACACACACATATATAATAATTCTATGTATATATGTGTAACGAAATCCCTTATTTACAGACCATACGAACAAGCCTGTTCGGTTATTTGGAGGATTACAGCAGGATTTCGTGAAAATAGCCATAAAAGCGAATAAACTACCGAACCACCGACCTCCCACTGAGGTTGTGTGGTGCCTATTGACCACCCTGACTGTTGCGGTTAACCACAGACTAATTGGGGAATAGCTGGTGGTCCGTGTTCGTTTACCGAACACATGGCAATCGCCATTTTGTATTGTCGAACGCTCAGCGGTAAATGGCGAGGATTCCCTGGAACTGATTTCGGCTACTTATTTTGTCGAACACCGCTGCTACCTCCTCCCATCCTCGTGCGTACGGTGGAAAACCACATGAATGAAGGGGATACTACTTCATTCGTGCGCTGAAAGTATGCGAAAGTGACCGACCCCATATAGCTATAGTATGGAACTTGTAGTCGGCTACAAACACACGAACGGCCGGTGAAAGTCAAACTTCAGTCGACGATTCTGAGAACTGTGTTCGTGGGATCTGAGCGCTATTCGCCTAGAATATGCACTCAGATCCAAGCTATCTGGGGATATGTGGAACTTAAAGTTTGTGTTGTGTAAAAAGAAAGTTATAGATTTGTATTCTGTTTTGCTGAAATAAGAAAAGCCATGTTTCTTTCTTCCTGGAGATAATTAAGGCTCTCTTTGCTACCTTAAGTTAATTATCTCCAGGATGGAAAAGAGGGAGTGATTTATGGAAAGGGGAGTGCTTATGCTATAGCCACTGTGATTGGCTACTGTGATACTTTTGTCCCAGTCTTCCATCTGGTCCCCTAGGGGAGTGTCCACCAGGTGGGAGACCTGCATAAATACCGGGCGGGTAGCCCACAGTAAATCAGATCGTTTTACCCCTTCATGAAGTCTCCACTCATGTTCGGGGGATTGGGAGTTATAATCACTTCGTTTCAGCTGGATTTCGGGAGAAGCTGCAAGGATCATCGCTGCACGAATAGAAGGATCCTTTACAATATGTATGTAATAATTTTACATAATTAGGTCATTTTATTAATCCATTTTATTAATAGCTTAGTCCAGGAAATTTAATTTGCTAGCACTATATTTAACCCTGTAACTTTCCAAGACACCATAAAACCTGTACATGGGGGGGTACTGTTTTACTCAGAAGACTTCACTGAACACAAATATTAGTGTTTCAAAACAGTAAAATATATTACAATGACGATATCGTCAGTATAAGTGAAATTGTTTGCATTTTTCAAACACAAATGGCACTTACACGGACATTGTTGTGATACGTTTTACTGTTTTGAAACACTAATATTTGTGTTCAGCAAAGTCTCCCGAGTATAACAGTACCTCTCATGTACAAGTTTTATGGTGTTTTCACATAGAAATTCACCAGGTTGATTATTTTGCCTTTGAGACCGTACAGTAGCCCAGGAATGACCATTTGCAATAGTAGACAACCCAAGGTATTGCAAATGGGGTATGTCCAGTCTTTATTAGTAGCCACTTAGTCACAAACACTGGCCAAAATTGGCGTTCAAATTAGTTTTTTGCGTTTTTCACACACAAACAAATATTAACGATAACTTTGGCCAGTGTTTATGACTAAGTTGCTACTAACAAAGACTGGACATACCCCATTTGCGATACCTTGGGTAGTCTACTATTGCAAGTGACATAAAAACAAACAGAGAGATGAGGGTGCGCCTAAAGTATATAAAAGACAATATATGTAATGTATAGATATAAAATAATGAAAGGATATAAAATAAAATAATACAATATTCGGTAAAACAAAAGGTGAACTTATCACAGTGAAAAATTAAAAATATATTAGATAAAATGGATAATAAGCATTAGTCAAATATTAAAAATATATTGAATAAAATGGATAATAAGCAGTAGTCCGAAAGGGTGAACTTATCACAGTCCGTAAAGGTAGGTAAAATATCACGTAGAACTAAAAAAAATGTTAAATTCTTATTTTCTCCCATTTTTTTATATTTTATTCATATTAAATTATGTTTCATAGCTAAATATTCAATGTTAAAAGAAAGCTCTGTTTCCCCTGAATAAAATGATATATAATAAGTGTGGGTGCAGAAAAAAAGGGGGGACAGAGTTTGTAGGGTGTTGAGATTAGTCAACTCCCCAGAACTCTGTAGAGGTTACAGAAGGTATAGGGGGCTTAACCCCTGCAAGTTATGAGAAAGAAAGAGAAATGAAATGGAAAACCACCAGAATCGAATATAAAGGTGGGAAACCTATTCATTCATGGATCTATACCTCCTAAAATATAAATGTACTAAGTATATCGGGTTCTAAGACCTTTAATAGAAAATGACATACATATTAAAACAGAACTGGCTATAAAAATTGCCAGAAAAAAACCCCTAGGGGATATCAAGTGGGTGAAAGAAATATTCACAAATACTAACTAGAATATATCCCAATTGAGAGTTCTATGAGATACCTGGTAAAGAGAACACTGTTGTACAAGAAAACAGAACAAAGATAATGTCTGTACAAAGTAGTCTTAACCAGGACTCAGTATCAAAGCGAAGGGATGAGAAGAAGGGGGGTGGGGGGTAAAGATGGGGTAAAATAGAAAATATAGCCTGGTAAGTAATGATATCCCTATATGTGGTGAGACAGCTGCAAATACATACACAATATGCTATCAATAGGCAAAAGGCAAAAAAGAGTGGTGTAGATACTAGGCTAATTGCCAGAGATATTGCCAGGAACATAAAAACGTCCCACTCATGTGTCCCAACTTGCCCTGGTGCTGCTAGCTGTCTCCCAAAATACAGGGGAGATCAAATAAACTACCTGCTGCTTCAAGGCAGCCTAGATACTGTCCCTATAGCCCCCACTCCTGTCTGTCTCAGCAAATCCTAAATGGTCATAGTTGAAATAAACAAAAGGGATGACTAGTTAGAAAAAGAGGAAATAACAAAAAAAGCACACAAAAAGAACTCAAAATAAATGCATCGGCATTACAAAATTGCTCGACGCGCGTTTCGGCGTATCTAACCGCCTTTGTCAAGAGCTGAAAAGTGTCTGTATGGATGTCCGTGTTAAAAAGATTTTTCCTCTCTTTTCCTACTATTGCAAATGGTATGCCATCATGGGGGTAATTTTCATTCCTGGGCTACCATACGGTCTCAAAGGCAACGTAACCAACCTGGCAAATTTTAATGTGAAAAAAATGAAAAATTTAAATTGCTATGTTTGACCCTGTAACCTCCCAAAACA